AAAAAACCAGCTCTTGGTTTCATTGATCTTTTGTATTGTTTTTCTGGTCTCTATTTCATTTATTTCCGCTCTGGTCTTTATTACCTCCTTCCTTGTACTCCCTTTGGGCTTATTTTGCTATTCCTTTTCCAGTTCCCTGAGGTGTAAGGATAATCTGTTGATTTGAGATTTTTCTTGCTTCTTTAGGTAGCCTGCACTGCTATGAACTTCCCTCTTAGGACTGCTTTTGCTGCATCCCAGAGATTTTGAGTTGTGGTGTTTTCATTTTCGTTTGTCTCAAGGTATCTTTTGATTTCTTCTTTGATCTCATTTTTGACCTACTCACTATTTAGTAGCGTGTTATTCAGCCTCCATGTATTTGTGTCCTTTCCGGGTTTCTTCTTGTAATTGATTTCTAGTTTCTAGTTTCATAGAAATTTCATAGAAATTTCATTTCTAGTTTCATGTGGTCAGAGAAGACACTTGATATGATTTCAGTCTTCTTAAGTTCATTGAGATTTGTTTTGTGGCCTAACATGTGGTCTGTCTTGGAAAACGTTTCATGTGCACTTGAGAAGAATGTATATTCTGTTGCTTTCGGGTGAAATGCTCTAAAAATATCGATTAAATCCAGCTGGTCTAATGTGTCATTTAAGACCACTGTTTCCGTGTTGATTTCTGTCTGGAGGATCTGTCCATTGGTGAAATGGTATGTTGAAGTCCCCTACTATGATAGTGTTACTGTTGATCTCTGTCTTTATATCTGTCAAAATCTGTTTTGTATATTTAGGAGCTCCTATGTTAGGTGCATAGATGTTTACTAGGGTTTGTCCTCTTGTTGGATCGATCCCTTTAGTATTGTGAAGTGCCTTTCTTTGTCCTTTATTATGTTCTTCAATTTAAAGTCCATTTTATCTGATATAAGTATCACTACTCCAACTTTTTTCTCTGTTCCATTTGCATGAAATAGTTTACCCCATCCCTTTACTTTCAGCCTGTATGTGTCTTTTGATCTGAGGTGAGTCTCTTGTATACAGCATATGCAAGGGTCTTGCTTTCTTATCCACTCAGCCATCCTATGTCTTTTGATTGGAGCATTCAATCCATTTACATTTAATGTGATTATTGATAGGTGCGTAGTTATTGCCATTTTGTTATTTGTGTTCCTGGTCTTCGTTAGGTTGTTTTTCTCTTTCCTCTGCTTAAAGAAGCCCTTTTAACATTTCCTGCAATGCTGACATGGTGGTAATGAATTCCTTTAGCTTATTCTTTTCTGGGAAGCTGTTTATCTCTCCTTCAATTTTAAATGATAGCCTTGCTGGATAAAGCAGTCTAGGTTGTAGGCCTCTGTTTTTCATCACTTTGAAGCCCTCCTGCCACTCCCTTCTGGCCTGCAGAGTTTCTGTAGAAAAGTCAGCTGATAATCTTATCGGGGTGCCCTTGTAAGTAACTTGCTGCCTGTCCCTTGCTGCTTTTAGGATTCTGTCTTTGTCTTTAACCCTTGCCATTTTCACTATAATGTATCTTGGTGTGGGCCTGTTTGGTATCATCTTGGTTGGAACTCTCTGCACCTCCTGTGCTTGTATGTCAATTTCCTTTGCCAGGTTAGGGAAGTTTTCAGACATTATTACTTCAATATGTTCTCGATCCCTTACTTCCTCTCTTCTCCTTTCTGGTATTCCTATGATACGCATGTTGTTGTGTTTGATGTTGTCACCCAGCTCTCTTAAGCTATTTTCAGTGTTTTTAGTCTTTTTTCTTTTTGTTGTTCTGCTTGATCTCTGCTATCTTGTCTTCTAACTCACTGATTCAATCCTCTGCTTCATCAATCTGCTAGTAATTCCATCGAATTTGTTATTTAATTCAATAATTGTATTCTTTAATTCTAGCTGGTTGTTTTTCATGATTTCCCTATCCTTCTTTAAATTCTCATTAATTTCCTTGAACATTCTAATAATCAGTGTTCTGAACTCTATGTCCAATAGGTTATTTACCTCTATTTCCTCTAATTCCACTGATTCAGGAGGTTTCTTCTGTTCTTTTATTTGGGCTGTGTTTCTTTGTTTCCCCATTCTGGCTTACTCTTTGTGTTTGCTTCGGTGTAATAGGTAGATCCCCTAGGTCTCTCAGTCTTTTCTGGGTGGACTTATGTGGTATGTGTCCTTTATATTTGAATTACTTAGACTCCCTTTTTCTCCTGTGTGTACCAGAGGTGTTCCTTGTGTTGTGTGTCTTTTCCTGTTGAGGTTAAGTTTTGACTTCTTTTGGCTTGTCAGTAGGTGGGATTGACTCCCAGGCTGACTAGGCGCGAGGATTAGCTGTGTCCACAGTTTATGAGCTGTTGTGTGAGGGTTGACCCCTCTGATGAGGCTTGGCCCCTATGGGCTCTTGTGTCTGTAGCGATTTCCCTTTGGGTGTGACTCTTGTAGGTTAGACCCCGTAATGCTCTGGTTTTATCTAAAGTTGGTCTCTGGGTGTGATGATTCTGTGCCTCTGGCTGGGCTCTGCTGCAGAGCGGGTTTTAGAGCTAACAAATCAACAAGCACAACCACAACAGCCACCAAAGGTAACCAGACACTCTCAGATGTGCAAAACAACCATCAACCTACACTCAACATGTACAGAAGTATCAAGCATACAAAAGGAAAAACAAATCAAAAGAAAGAAAACAACAATAAAAAAAAACAAGGAACAAGTAGCAAAACAAAATAAAAATATAATCAAATAAAAAATAGAATAAACTCAAGAAACAAAATAGCGACACCAAAAAAAAAAAAAAGAAAGAAAAAGAAAGCTCCCTCACCGTTTTGAGGCCAGACGCTCCAGCAGAGCCCCTGCTGTGCTCCAGGAGCCCACCCTGGCACTGCGACTCGTGTCTCCGCAGCTGCGGGTGCGGGCTGCATCTCCACGCTTCTGGCTTATCTCTTCTGTTCCACCGGTTTGAGGTTTTTGCCTCGAAGTGCGCATGCCCTGGGGCTCCTGTCGTGCTCCCGGCGGGAAGGTCGGCCCAGAGGCTGAGCCTGCCCTGATGCTGCAAGCGCCTCCGCTGTGTCCTGCGTTCCTACAGCTCCGCAGGGCGGGCGCAGACAGCACGTTTCAGCTCGCCCGTCTCTTTGTTCCCCTACTCACTAGGTCTGAGGATTCTGCCTCAGCGCATGCGGGCCGGAGGTGCACGGAGCGAGCCGTGGGAACTAATCCCACAGCTCCGCAGCCCCGCCGGCTTATTTTCAGGGGAGTGACGTTTGTGAAGGAGACCAGGTCCACAGGCTTTTGAAGAATTTCAGTATATTTAAAACTCTAGAACTTCGGGAATGTGGAGGCCATTCTGGACAGCTGAGGCTTCTGTGTCACTGGCACTATTTTAACTTCCAGGAATTTAACATTGAATGGGAGTGCTCTCAGGTATACGTACATATGAACTCAGATTTTCTCATTGCTATTCAGAGGCACCCCTGGCACAGGCTTTGTCGCCGTGGTGGGTTACTACTGCGGTCACCTCGGTGTGGTGCTTCTGTTACTTCTCTCCCTTGCCATCAATTTTCTGTCTTTTGTGGACTTAGACGTCTGATGTACACGTTCACACCTGGGAGGGCCCTGGAAGGCCTCTGAGTGCAGGACCCCACACAGTCTCTGCATAGCCTTGACAGCTACCATTGAGGGGACCCTGCGTCCGGGCCTGACATTGAACGCATGTCTGCATTTCTTTGTGTCACCACAGAGGATTGGGACATGGGGTGTGTGACTGTCCTATCTCCTTGCAGATGAGACCATCGTGCCGCCAGATGTTCCGAGCTACCTCTCTTCTCAGGGGACCCTTTCTGATCGACAGGAAGCTGTGGTCAGGACCGAGGGCAGCCATCAGGCCAATGGGCACATCGAGAGCAATGGTAAGGCCGCCGCCTGATGTGCCTTTTCCCGAGCTGCCTGGAGGTGAGGTGGACCCCAGCCCTCCCCGGGCACATTGATAGCATTAGTTCGACCACATCAGAACTAGAAGGCTGGTGACTCAAGCTTTCTGTTGGGATTTTTGGACCTGGACTGTGCAAGTTGGGCAAGGTTTAAAATCCTGCCCCCCAGGAAGTAACTCTCTGGGGCTTAGCTTCTCTTACTAGAGTCTTAGCTCCCCTCATGCTACGAAGTGCTCCCGGAGTGAGCACCTCCAGTGGGGGGACGGAGCTCTGGCTTAGGGCACGTTTACCTTTACGAGAACTCAGTAATGTGGCTCTGAACACCGAAAGGCCTGCCTGCTAGGAAGGCTGGGTAGGAAATGGTCCTTGCTGGACCTGTGATCTCTCACTCTGAGGAACATTTTCAAAATGACTGCTCCAGTAGCTTTGTCCCTTTTTTCATTAGGCTGACTGTGGGATGCCAAGTCCAGCATCTCTAACAGGTGCTGCTCTATTCCAGGTATTTGCCCGAGAGATGCCAGCCTCTTCCCAGAGGCGGACACTCATGGGGTCATGTGCAGGCCACCCAAGCTCTGTGTTGGATTTAATAAGGAGCCGTGGAAAGGGATGGAGAGAGCCGACGGGATACCTGGTCCACAGAAGATGGGTATGAGACGCTTCATCAGGAATTCTGTCGTTGGAAGCAACACTTGGGTTGACCTCATTAATGAAAGGGGGAGACGCATTATTGGTCTAAGGCTATCTCGGAATTTGGTCGGTGTCTAAACAGGAAGTTGTGTGTGGCCCAGCTCTTTTAGTTCCAGAGTGGGATGTCTCCTCAATAAACCTATGGCGTGGTGAGCCTGAGCATGAATTTCCAGATTTCGAAGCAAATTAAATAAAGAGGACAAGGCCCAAACACAAGTTCCTTTCACCAGGGCTCTTTGAAGGCTGCATTTTTGATAGTTCAGAAGACCTCCGACACTGCATGGTATCTCATGCAAATGGGATTTTGTTTCCTGTAGTCCAAATAGTATGGCTCCATTGTCCGATGCAGAAATTAATCAGAAGTGTTTAAACATGGAAGACCTCGCTCTTAATGAATGGCTTGGTGTTTGCTTTCCCAGTCCTTTCTCTGTGAACATACAGGGGAGATAGGAGTCCTGAGAGTTGATGTAAGGGGTGAAGCAGCCTGTTCCTTCTGTGGGGTGGACATGTCAGAGCCGGTGGCTCTAATCTGCCTGTCTGTGTCCTGCAGAGCACGGGGGCCCAGCTGAATGCAGCGACTGCAACACTGACATGGACAGCTACTCCAAGGAACAAGCCTTCTCTTCCCAATCCATGTCCAGGGACAATACACAACCAGGTCCACAAGGGAGCCAGGAGCCCAGTCGGAGGGACCGAGAATGCGCTCCACAGCATCTGAGCAGTGGGACTGTTGACGGGGCTCGCACTGACTGCGTGCAGTCCCTCTACCCCAGTAACCACGACAGAATGCTGATGTCCTTGAAGCAGCAGCCAGCAGCCCCTCTAGATGGGAAAGGTAAACTTTTACTGTCCTCCCAGGAGCCCCAAGCAGCTGCGGGGAGCATGTAACCAGCCAGGCTAGAGGGTCTCATGTGCCCGCTCCTTTCTCGTAGGGGCGTCTTCTTGGATGTTAGCAAGGCTGTGTGAGCCAGACTCCAGAGACCTCCAGCCTTCCTCGGCAGTGACTCCAGGCCACCCTGAGCTCATGCCAGCCTCCCCGGGCTTTCCTGATGTCCCCAGTGAGGGCCAGCACTTGCTTCTTCCCAATGGACACCTCCCCAAAGCATGTGACTGCAGTGCTGAGGCCACACCGCTGACAGGACAGCTCCCCGGGAAGCGGAGTGTGCCACTGCTGTTTGCACCACACGTCTAGGCTTTGTCTACCTCAGCTCTTGTCATGTCAATCCCTACAGGAAAGAGAGGTAGGAGAAGCAGCTTGCTTCAAGCGTCACTGATTTGTACAGTTGTAACTTCCATGTGGAGTATCCGTAGTTTAAAGGACTTGCAGCTAAAGCGCAGAGATGCAAGAGGCTATTGTGTACAAAAGGCAGAAAAGTGTTTTACCATTGTACATAAGAGTTTTCAGAGATTTCATATATATTATATATCTTTTACAGAGGATATTTTAATCTTTAGTGCATGGTGAACAGAAAACAACTGTACAATTTTGACAATATTATTTTTCATATCAGGTTGCTGTTTAATTTTGGAGGGGGGGATAGTTCTGGTGCCTTAACGCATGAATGGAATTTATACAAGGACAAACCACATTTGTTCCCAGGAGTTTTGGTGGGTAGGAAGGATGGAAAGTCCTTGGACTTGGACTGCACTTCGTAGGACAGACCCCGGGGGGGCTTTATAGGCACAGACTTTGTTTGCATCGGAAGCGACTTCGCGTCAGTGCGGCTCCCATGGGGAGGCTCCCGCCGCAGACCCAGAGGTGCAGGCTCATGTTCCTCTGCAGCGAATGGCTTCTCGAAGGTTTCAGTTCTGTCTTTAACAAGCACGATGGGGGGGTTTTAATCCACCACAAGCATTTGGTCCGAACAATTAAGCACTGCCTTTCTTCCTTCTATGATAAAAGCAAATGTGGTCTTGTCAGCATCACACGATTGTCATTTGAGGCTTTTTAATGAGATAGAGGCTGCTGCTGTTGGTACCTGTGGATTTTTCAATAGTGACGTTTTAGTTCCGCCAATATAACTAATATTACATTGGTCTAGGGGAGGAAAACGGTCGAGTCCTTACTTTCAGGGCTAGCTTATCTCTACTGAGGATCCGGGCAGGCCTGTCCACATCCTTCCCTCGCACACAGACCCAGGCTCGGACTGGGCGAGGTGTAGCCCTGATGGGCTCTGGGTAGATTTGCACTTTGGAGACCTGCAGCTAACCATCTTGTGAGTGCCAATGTTCAGGAAAAAGTACATTGAAACTAACAAGGTCCTTAAATGCTCAGACCACGAGGTCCTGCCCAAAGCTGAAGGTAGATATTGACGGAATGGTTACCTATGTTAAATTTTACTGTCAAATGTCATCACTGTTCCAAAAGGTAAGCACAGTTAGAATTTTGTTCTCAACAGCTAACTGATTAATGTTACTTCCACAACATATGTGAATTTGCTGCTTCTGAGAGGCAATGTGAAAGAGGAAGTATTACTTTTATGTACAAAGTTATTTATTTATAGAAATTTTGGTACAATGTACATTGAAAAACATGTAAAATATTGAAGCGTCTAACAAATGGCATTGAAGTGTTTTAATAAAGGTTCATTTATGTTACACGTGTGGCTCAAGTCCCTCTTCTATATACATTAACCAGCATTGTTTCGTCCTATTTAATTCCAGAGATTCCCCAACAAAATGCGGTCATTCTGCCTTTAATTACCTTTTTGCTCAAAAAGAAAAAGTTTTAGGCAAAGCAGAATCATATAGTGTGGCTCCAAGGAAGACACGACACCACCAGAATCCCTGAGAGTCTGAATTTGTCTAAAGCCTGGAGCTTTTAGTCAGGCTCTAAAATGGTGACCTGCCTGTTTCAGCCATTTGTATTTTCAGTGTTGAGCCTGAAACTCCAGGAACAAACCTTACTGATTCGGAACTGAGAAACAACACCGTTTGCAAAGCCGGCCCCAGCCCTCCCTGTGATCTGACGTGGAGAAGAAAGAGTGGGGTTCAGCTCCTCAGAGGACCCACTTCGTCATGAGCTGCGCCTGCCTTCTTTTACACACATGGGCTGTGGGACACGTCCCTGTAAAATGATACAAGTGTGTGTTTTTATAGGTTAAATTGGAGGGTAATTCAGAACAGCCTGGTTACTAGGAGGAGTGGTCTTCGTGCACCTGTAGATCATTCTGTTTAAACAAAGCTGTACACTTACACAACAGTAATGAACCCAGGGGAGAAACCCACTTACAAAACTTTTTCCCCAGGGCTACTTCCTTTTTCCAGCCTGGCCATTCTTTTAAAATTATAACCATTCCTGCCGTCAGGTGGTGGGAAATAAAAAATCACATGCAGATCAAATGAACGCTCTGGAGGGCCCGGACTCAGCATTACCAAACGCATTTATTAAGGGTTCTGAGAAAATGGTTCCAAGTACCGCTGTGGACATGGTTTTCTCTGAACTGTCTGGCATATAGGCAGATGACATCACTCCAGACGGCCTGTAGCACGGAAGACGCATTCTCCATTCGTAATCTTAGCCGAGCTGGGCTTGAGTGCTGTGTCCTGTTGTTCAGAGGGCCGAACAGCTGCTCCCGGAGGGAGGTGGTTCTCACAGCAGGTCCCTCACAGCAGAAGTGGGTGCGGGGCCGGCTCTGATTCACGGGTGCTCTCTGCCAAGTTCCAACAGCAAGCTGCGAGTTTGCTCATAAGCACCAAGAAAGATGAAACCTCCCAGACTGATCGCTGCCATTCGAGGGAAGACACCTGCAAATAATCTAAGGGGTAAAAAAGCAAAAGTAGCGATTTTTATAAATTGTGTGTGTGTAAAAGTTAAATTCCAACACCCACAGCCTGCTCAGCTCCACACACCGTGCCCATTAAACTCCGCAGAGCACTTAAAATGTTTTTTTGCTTTTTTAGAATGGCACTAAATTACACTCCCAAGTAGACTTGTTGAAGTCTGAGCCCAGCTGTTTGTTGGCTAAAGTTGCTACATACCAAACGGCTTACTTGTGAGCGCTCACAATTAACTCAAATAATTAGTCAGGAAACAGTAACCCTGTCCCCACAATAGTTCTGTTTAAAACTTCCCGACCACTTTTGTCTTTTAGGGATAATGAAATTGACTTGTTTTATAAAGGGATTGAAGGGCTGAACCCTCGGGCAGGCTGGAGGCCACGGCCCACCCTGGAAGCCCTAAGGTGGTCTGTGGGCGTGAGAGGGGGTTTGGAGAACTCTGCCGCCCCTCCCGGTGACTCAGTCGCATCTGTCCTTAGAGGCCCACAAGTATGATGCCACATGGAGCCACAAGGATCCATGGATCATTGTTTTCTTTCCCATCTGATGAAGGACAGGAAGGATGGCTGGGAACGGGGCACCTCCTTTCGCAGGTTCGGTCCCCAAGCACGACAGTCACTGCCAAGGCCAGTCACTGTCAAAGGTGCAACTTTGGGATATCCCAGGAAATGCAAAGTAAAAGAACAATGTGACTGGGGTCATAAACGGGATTCATTCTTTAAAATCCCTCCCATAGCTATGCACAGGTGTTTGTTCAGAGAAGGTCATCGTGGCATTGCTGATAAAAAAAAGAAAAAGTGCAGAGTCCCCTCTGGTTCCATAAACTGGTACAGTATCCACACAGGGAGACCACGCAGCTGCTAAGTAAGAGGGAGGCCACAGGTACCAACACAGAAACGTGCAACGGGCTCTGAGAACGTGAAGCCCCCAAAGCACAGCAGGGATGTCCTTAGAATTCTCTAGAGGGTAGGACTACAGGCAACATTTCCTGCCTATAGTTTTGTAATAACTGAACTTCATTTTTACCAAGAGTATTACTTTTGTAAGCAGAAAAACAAAACTACAAAAATCAGAGCTAGTTGATGTTCTAGTGAAAAACTTCCTAGTCAAAAGATCAGGTCTAGGGAAGAAAACTGAAAATGGTCAGGTTATGCCAACAGTAGTTTGTGTATCTTTTAAGATATGGGGACAAGCTCTGTGATAAGCTACATGGTGGCCCGCCAAGGAACTGGACAGGAAGGAAACCCCTGCTGCCTAGGTCATGGCCACCCTGGCCACTTTCTCTCTGCAGGACTGTGGGGAGAGGTCAACTTGTCTCCCCTTCGTATGCAGCACCCAGCACTTCTGAGGAAAACGGACTTTAGAGTCATTCTAGGGGGTTCTTATTTTAACTAGCTAACTAAGAATTTAAATCATTAAGCAAAATGCTATAGATAAAATTAGAACCTCTTTTTCTTGTCTGGAAATAACCATGAAAATTCTACAGAAGACCAAAATACACTTGTAAGAAACAAAGTTGTTCAGCTCAACATCACACAAATTGTTTTTGCATGAGGTGGTTGGTGAGGACAGAAACTCATAAATTACTGCTTTGAGGCCACTGTGTCCTTCTGGCCTGAGAAACAGATTCATCCCCCTGCCTCTGCCCTACAAAGGGGAGGCTGCTGGGAGGGAGGCTGGCAGAGCTTAGCGATGGGAGACCACGCCGGCCACGGAACACTCCCTCCCTCACTCCTTTCCCATCTCAGTGTTCAAGCCAGTGTCTCGGTTCAGCTTTTGCTTCTAATGAGCTCAGCTGCTCCTGGCTCCAGGCAGATGGAAGCAGTTTATGGTTTCACTAGATGACAGTTGAATCTATTAACATAATTACAGCCTGAAAGTAGAATAATTTGTATAGTGAGGGCTCCCACCAAACCTGGAAGCAACATCTGAGTAGAGCAGAGCTGTGTTCTAGTGACCACGGGTCAAACCAGAGAACAAATGTAAAGCGCTTGGCACAGAGCAGGCACAAGCAGGGTGCGCATGGCAGCAGCAGTTAGCACAGTCGAGAAAAACAAAAAGCCAGTTGATCCACAGAAGACAAGCAGGACGAGACAATGCAGGATGGACAGGCTCCCCATCTGCTTTCCGGCTAATGGACTGATGAGCGTTGTGGAGTACCCAGTTTGCCCCAAATGCCCTAAATATGTGCCACACGGCATTCCCTCGTGAGACCAACATGGACAGACCAGTGTCACCCTGAGGTGAGCACCATTTCACTGCAGACTGGACCTGCTGGACAACCTGAGTATTCAGTCAAGTCGGCAGGTGTGCTTGGGGTGGCAGAAAGCGCAAGAGGGGCCGTGTGTGGAAACCGGGCGAGGAAGCAGACTGAGGCGCCTATAGGATCAGCCATCAGCACATCTGCGCACTTTTATAGGGGGTTAACGTTTTGCTTGCTTTTGTCAAATTATGTGTTGTCTTGTGTCACATTACTAGGAAGCTGCCTCAAATACTCTGCTAAGGACCACACCGCGCACATAGGCATACCTCCTTGTACTGCGCTTCCCAGGTGTTGCATTTTTACAAATTGAAGGTAAGACTCTCCACCAGCAAAATGATGATGACTCGCTTTATTGCGGTGCTCTGGAACAGAACCTGCAACATCTCCGAGGTGTGCCTGTACTTGTGAGAGCCCAAGACTTAAGAAGCTTTCAGAATATAAGCAAAACTCCAAATTACCTTTTCACGGCTGACGGTGGGGACAGAGACAGGCCCTTGGCACGTTTCTGACACCTGTCCTCTGCCTGTAATTCTGGCACTGCCTAGTTACATAAGGTCAATTACACATCACAACTGGGATGAAGAGGATTTAGTTTCAATCATCCACTCAAGGAAATTCCTTCTCTACGCACTTTCAATGGCCACGGTTTTGCCAGTCTTGCCACATAGCACCCACATATCACCACTTTCTCAAGAAAGGCAGGTAGGTGGGCTGCAGCCCGACACCAAATCCACAGAGCTAAGGTCAAGAGCAGAGGTCTGACCAAGAGTTGCCACAGAATCTAATATGAAATACATTGAAATAAGAGTGAAATTTGGCAGTTTGACTTTATGATCTGAAAAAGCTACTGCATGCAACATCTCTATGTGGCCTAAAATTATTTGAAAGAGTCAACAGACTCTTTTACTATTACTAAATAAGCTGCTTCCAGCCCCATTTTCTTCTCGCCCATTTTCTTTGTTCAATGTGGAGCTGGTTGTCCAAGGCAGCGCGGTCAGCTGTGATTAGATCCTCATTTCTCCCAATATATTAGCCCTAATGGCCAACCGCAGCACAGAAGTCCTCTTCCCCTGCTCCTCTGTTCCTCCTTTCTGTCAAAACCCATTCTTGTCTCAAAATCCTTCAGTCCTTCAGGCAGCCAGCATCAATCTACCAGGGTTGTCACAGTCAGTGCTACCTACGGTTCAAACTTACAGCTGGAAATTCTGAATATAGGATGGGGACGTTCTGCAAAACCTAACCCAAGGCCTGAACAACATGCTTCTTGGTCCCCAAACTAGCAACTCGGTGAAATAACCTGCCCAATGCCTACAAACTACAGTCAACCAAATGCGTGATCAACAGCCTCGCAGCACTGCAGGCTGCTGTTCACACCAGCCAAACCCTGTCCCAGAGGAGGCTGCTCCTTGGCGCCCAGGAAAATCCTGGGGGATGATTCCAAAGAGAAAATCGTAATTTCACATACCTGTACAGATCTCAACAGTCAGGTTTACAAGTTTATGTTGTAAAAGCACTGTTGAAATGACATTTTGAAGAGAGCTTTAGGATATGCTAGAAGTCTGAGGTGCTCCGCTGATAACATAGAACAGAGGGTTTCAAGTGGTGACATGCACTAGGGTTATGTTGAGAATAATTTGTTGTTAATAGTTAAAAGTACCCCAAACCACAAGTACACAGAAGAAGGGTAACTTCTAACAGAGTTACCCTTGCTCACTTGCGTTCCTGCATTACATAAGTGGAAGCCTGTCTTCTCAATGCTGCAGCCGGGAAGCCAGCAGGAGCCACACATGTGGACAACATCTAACAGCAAGACGGACGGGGCTGGGAATAACCTGGCTAGACTACTGATCGACTTGATTGCACAGTATTACCTCATGTAAGCAAAATCAAACATGTTTTGTATAATATAAGTAAGGAGAGCCCAACCAGGACACCAACAGAAGGAAGGAAGGGGGTTGGTCCGATGTGAGGCTAACGGAAGAGTGCCAGTGGAGAGAGGAAGACCGCTGAGTGTTCTGTCTGGTCCTTACCCTGACAGCCCCTGCGTGCGCCAGACCCCATGCAGGGCAGCGAGGACATTCCCACTGGCAGTGCTGGAACCGGCCTGCATGAAAACACAAAAGAGAAAGCCGTTATCTTATGAAGCTCCCCAACGCACAGCTGGCCCTCAGATCTCAGATGCAGGGCTCCCCACCACCTTCATCTAAGACACAGTCTCAAATGGGGGGAGGGGTCCTCAGGAATCAGCACCCCTGAATCTCACTAGACCAGAATCTCACTAGACTATTTAAACCCACAGACAAGCACCGATTTGGCTCATGCCCACGGAAAGCTGCTTTTCTAGGTGTTTCATTATCAAACCATGAGAAGAGCCCACCCAGATAATTTACGTACAACTACTGAACAGGAACAAGACTGGAAGCAGTATTAATTGTTCTGAGAAGAATGGGGAATAATCAGTATATATGGTACTATTATGAAACTAACCTAAGTAGCTAACATACATTTAATGAAGAGTCCTATGTCCAATTTATTTTTTAATAATGTTTTTATTTTTCAATTACAGTTGACATACATTATATTAGTTTCAGGCATATAACATAGTGATTAGACATTTATATAACTTATGAAGTGATCACACCATTAAGTCTGGTACCCACCTGGAACCACACATAGTTATTACAATATCACTGACTATATTCCCTATGCTGTACTTTACATCCCCAGGACTGTTTTGTAACTACCAATTTGCACTTCTTAATCCCTTCCCCCTTTTACTATTACTATGTTCCATCTAAAACAGGGTTGACATTCTTAGGTTTGGCTTTGTCAGCATATATATAAGAATTCTGCCCTTATTTGTTCCAACTTTTCCACAAAAATACGACTTTTTAGTTTTGGTTGTTTTGGTCCAGATACATTGTATGTATGGAATGCTCCAAAGTCTCAGCCTAGCTTCTTTAAAAACAATTTTTCTTTTTAATGGAAAAATTTTAATTCTGACAACTGTCCTCATTCACCCAGTTGGGACCAAGTAGGACCTCGTATGACCTAAGTTCAGAGCCTCTGACTTACGTGCTGCCTGGAATAAAGCAAGTCACCTTTCTGAGCCGTAGCCCCGTCACCAGGAAAAACAGACAGTGTGAATGTGTTCTTACCAGGCAGGGGCCCTACCGGCCCTGCCAGCTTACATAACGCAGGTGAAAATGAAGATGAAAAGGTAAAATGCTATACAGACATTGGTCGCTGTGGTAACTATGGATATTGTTTTGTCAATGTCAGTTTCATTAGTGGTTCAACAAGGCAGCACAGGCTGCTATTACGGGGAAGTATTTTCCACTTTTATTTCCTTTATATGCAGATAAGCCCCAGTGCTAATAGACGGAAGCATGTGTCGTGTCTACATGACGTCATTTGCTTACCTTTGCTAACATGATTCTTGTTTTTGCCACATCCAGAGGCGTGGTGACTGCAGCTGCAAACCCACCTGTGCATATAAAAACACCCAAGACACAGCGAGGTATTGTTTACTGTATTACAACGTATTTCATAATTTTCATTTTCTAATTCCTCATAACTCTGCCCAAATTGTTTTATCATTATGTCCACTTGACCGATTCAAGAATAGGATGCACACACTCCATTGCTTCTGTAGTGACCTCAAACTGTATAGAAAAGAGGTAACAAGATGGTGCTTTACCTCCTCGGGTTAAAAACAAGGCCCCACACATGTCTTGCTCTTGTGCAGCAGTGAACAAGCCCGAGTGTGTCGATGGGTAGGGGTGTCCACGGGCTGACCGTCCTCTCAACAGGAGGCTCGGGGCTCCCGGGGTGCTCAGAGGGCCCTTTTAGGGGCCACTGTGCTTTAATCTGACTCCAGAATGCTTCTATCGTTCTGCTGGGAGGCAAAACGGGTGAACAGCAACGTGAGTCGCTGCAGGGATTGTGATGTCAATGGCTGGACTCTCCGAGTTGAAAACATGAAAAGCGTAAAGCTTTCTGTATTTCCAGTTAGAGGAACAACATTTCTAAGCTCCCTTCTGCACCTTGTTAGAATCGGTCTTGATTTAACAGGATTTCTTCCTTACACTACCTTCCCACCTTATCTCCCATGGAGCACTGTAACTGCCAAACTTATTTCTAAAAATGCCACACATTTTAAAGGGGTCCATATCTACAGACAGAGGAATCAGAAGACTTTGTTCTTTGGTGTTTTTTTTAAAATCAGAAACCATAGTATATGATGCCAATATTTTATTTGAATATGATACGAAAATATATTTTAAACCTCAAGAGGCCCAAAGGAAGTAGAAACAATAAAACTAAAAGGGCTTCTAAAGGCTCAGCATCCACGAGCTAGGGTGAAACAGGCAGCTTTGGAAGCGGGCCGAACAGAACACACGTGTGTGCAGGATGCTCCGGAAATAGCACTGCTCTCCGCCTAAGTCTCGTGTCATGTGGACAAGAAGGTCATTTGATCTCTGCCAAATACCTTTCTAAATATGTTGCTGAAATAGGATCATTACACTGAACCTCCTCCATTTGGTAACATTATGACACTGACTTTTTGAAAGTTGTACCCATTTATGTTGCTTTGTTCCATTTTTGGTTACCCACATGTGACACACACCTTAGGACTACAGAGTATCAATTAACATGAATGTTAGTCTCTTTTGTTTTAGCCACTTTTGTGTTATGAATCTGTGAAACGTTTCCTCCACATCCAAACGTTGTCTGGCTTGCTAAACTTCCAAGTATTTTAAAAATTTGTGGACCCAGTCTTGAAATCCTACTCTTTTAATTTTTTTAACCACGTATTCTGCACTAAGGGGTGAATATGCTTTTAATTATAGAAAAGGGTCCAGAATGGCTTCACATCCATAAACATACATATAAGGAAGGAAGAAAAGGGACAACAGAAAGAAAGGCAGTGGACCTGTACCACCCCAAACCTCCCACCCCAAATCTTATACTTGGTTTTGTTTCCCTTACTGTCTGCAGGGTCTGGTAGAAAGAACCCCTCTTCAGATTCAGAATGACAAAGGCTTAACTCCCTGCTCTGCTAGTTGACTGGCCACAGGTAAGCTACTTACGCTCTAGGTTAAGAGCCCTATGAGACAGGTGTTCTGGTTACCTCACACTCTGAGAGCTTAAATAACTCATAGGCGGTTTTACGTGGTCTGCGCTGAGATGAACGTTTCTGTCTAACTCCACAGCCTGAGCTCCTGGCCACTGTGTCTTCTAGTGGCCTCAGTGTTTCATCTATAAAATGCAGATGGCAATATGACAGGGATTAAAAGAGTCTGCAAAGTGTCTAGGATAGTGCCTGACTCATACTAGTGCTCAAAGTAATTACCTCTTTTCTGGGTGGGCAGAGATAATGTGTGATTTTTCTTCATGTCTCCAGCTCAGCACACACAGTAGGTACTACAAAATGCTTACTAGGTACCCTGGACAAATGTCTATAGTTTTTACAAACTGAAGATTTCAACTTGTCCTCTAAAAGGGAGGGGAGAGAGGAAGGTCGAAGCTAATATTTGTGCTTCGTTTGTATCTGGAACACTGGGACTATACTAGGTACTTTCATTGATTATTTTATCTCATTTGTATAAGTATTACCCTTGAGTTTTACAGACAAGCCCAGGGACACACAGATACTATGGAGCGGGGCCTCAAAGTGTATCTTGGCTCCAACAGTGCTCTTTCCTTACATAATCACTGTGATGGGTAAAATATTAAAATTTGTCCGATTGTTAAAGCTTAGAAGTGGCACACACCATTTTTCCTATTTGAAAATGTTCACAAACTGTCCTAATCCAACTAAAAAGACTTAAAAGTTGGCTAGGACATCTGTCCTGTCTGACCACTTAAGCTTTTATGAGTCACCTATGTTGAAAAGTACTTGCCTTCTAATAAATTTGCAAATCAAACTTATTTTGGCCATTAGCAGAAGTTCCCCATTCCTTTACTGTGGATGCCTGCCAATATCCCCTTAGAGATTTGTTTCATCTAGGTATTAATAATATGAAGAAACATTAAAGACAAAAACACATCTGCTTAAATAGGTCCTAATTTTACTACCATGACGGAAGCTGTATTTTATGAAAGTTACTAATTAATCAATTTAAATATCTTCAACTATCAAAGATTGCTTTAATTCACAGACCTCACAAGGTTTTTATGAGTCTGCAAGAAACACTTGTGAAGATCAGGTAATAGAACAATGGGTCATAATGGGGCTGGGGCAGAACACCTGTACTTTCAGTGAAAGTGTCATACTTTCCTACATTTTACTTAAGGGAACCGTAAACTGCTGGTAATAAATACAGGGAACATGCTAACATATTAGACAGGAAACAATTATTTAGTACAGCAACGGTAGGCTGCCTTAGTGCTCAGGTCACGTGACACAGTTTTCTATGGGCTCCACTGTAATTGGGCTTTCACTGAATGTTAGTTAACTAACCAGATTTCAAGGAGCAGATTCAAGGGAAATGAGCTGTTGTACGTGTCCTTAGGAAGCCAGTGCTGATTCTTTATTGTCTCCAGACAAAGGGCCACCTTCCTAGCACAGATCTGGAGCTGTCGTCTCCAGTGTGCTGGGGCAGCAGTGGGTAGCACTGCCATTCACTGTCTCTCAAGGGCATCCCCCCTCTGATTGGCCTGGGAAGGAGAGGAGCACCTCCGTGTACCTCTTTGGCACGATCTCCAAACAAGTGTCCAGATGGGCAGGGCTTCAGCAACAACATACGTGTTTTTGTTTGTGTGTTAAAGATTGTTAGGCCTTCTCATTTGTAACCAGATAATCCTTCACCCTGTTCTAGAATTCCAAGCCATAGGAAGATCTATCCATCTATTGATGTATCAATATCTGTCACTCTCAGAGAATATAAAGAGGTGTATTAATCACAAAAAACAGATCAAAGAACACTAGAATAGCAGTCAACATTCTCATAGTAAATGTCATAATTACTTAGACTGAATTATGGTTTTATTTTTAGAAGTTAAGTTGGAAGTGAGGAAATTGGCGAAGTCCTTTTTCCCCTCGTTTAACCCCTCACCAGAAGCCAAGGGAATGTCTAAGCATGACAAGCCATCAACACCTCGGATCTCAAGGGCCATTTTTGGGTATTTGTACCAAGCAGTTTATAAAACAAGCATGGGCACAGAAGAGTGCCAAGGATGCCCAAGAGTGGTTCATCTACGATGACTTAACCTGTTTAAAAACTGGAAAACCACGCAGGGACGAGAAATCTGGTTTTTGACGTAAGGGCAGGTTTGACCACTGCCTTCTGGCCACACAAGGATGGCGTCTGACAGAGCAGCAAGCAGCATCAGATCTTGGGGCCGCCCCAGCGGCAAGCCATTATTCTCTACAGTGAGTAATGTGCAATGTTGCAACAAACTCTTACAGAATACCACTTTTCCACAATCTGGAATATTTTCAAATGATGTTATCTTTCACAAAGATTTTAAAGTAGCCGCCTAATTCCTGAGGATCAACATTTGTACCAACTAAAATTTCTAAACAAGAGGAATATAAACAAGGAAAGGATTTATCTTTTGCTAAATACATGTGGATCTATTGACAATGGATTTTTGCAGAACTTGGACAAACTCCTTCACTTATCAGCACCTCAGCTGAAAAAACATGATTGTATTAGAGGAGATGATTGTGTATAGTAAGTTTATTAATATTATTTGTTCAATGCAATTTAAATTACTGTGATGATAATAGCTTTTCATTTTGGGGGTGCTGGTTGTTTTTATTGAAATAGTAATAATTCCTTACATCCGTTCAGTTTTATCAGAAAGTACTGTTACACACATTGTCTCACCTATCCCAGAAGTACTGTAAACCCTTAAAGGTGGGGAGAGTTGCTTCTGAGTTGCAGGTAAGGAAGCTGGTACCCAAGGAAGCCCCTAAGTCTCATTCCTCAGCTGGAGGCAGAACTGAGACTTGACAGCTTTGTTCAGTCCAACCAGTTGGGCTGCACGAGATGTGTAACTCTGGGCAAAGCCTTTCCCTGCTCACATCCCAGCGTCTCCGTTGTCCCTGGCGCATGCGCTATGTGCTGCACGCCTCCGGAGGCCACTTACTGACAGGGCCTGGCCCACTGGATCCCCGATCCAGTGGGTGTCTGATAAAAAGTTTCTTTCTTTCTCCCCTTCCGACAAATCTAAGTGCTTAGTGCCTATTACAAAGCATTATTCAGAAAAAGGAGTTGTAATGAATGCAAATTTCTTTAATAGAAACCATGCATTTGTAAGCAAATCTCTGAATTACCTACTTAAGGAATGGGACCACAGAATATCTACTTATTTTAACACATGCAAGTTTTATGCTATTGTTAACTTTAAAAACTGGCCTTTTTAAAAAAAGATGACCAAATTTCCATAATGATCACTTTGTCCCCAGGGCCCAGGAAGGAGTCAACAAAAATGCACATTTCTCCCAGGGGCTGGGGAGGAAAGACGCCTGACCTCTGGAAAATGAATCAAGACCACCTACTCATTTAACACAGCTAATGACCGTGTCATGTGGAAACAATTACCTGTCATAATCAGTCTGAGCTGGCTTTGTGTCTAGAGGCAAGATTCTTATTTCTGATGATCAGTTCTACAAGTCAAATGGGTCCAATTATTAATAAGGAATGCTGTAAGAAGTATGTTTTCTGTTTTCCTAATCACTACAACAAAATACCCAATCCAACAACTATTAAACAAATTGGAAAATAATTCTTTTCTAGTAAAGTTAACATCTAAACCTACATATCTGTCGATTTGCTGGCTTTCCATCTAAACTAACAGAAAGTTCACAGCTTTCTGGCAAATCTCCACTTTGATTTATTTCAACTGTAATTCTACCTTACCTTGATTTGCAACAACAAAATGTATTTCTCTCTCAGACTGTTAAACCTATAATTTATTAAATTCCATAAAGCATCTGAGTTCTCATTAAAACCTCCCTGGAAAATTCCTATGACTTAGTGATGGATGACACAATATTGCACATTGTCACTTTGCACTGGGTTGAATGTCTAGAAAATGCCCAGATGTTTAGATCTCCATACTTTCGACACAGACCCGTTTAGCCTCCAGTAAGCTGTGGAGCGGCCTCTGTTCTCCTGACACTAGTTAATCTACAGTGCTGTCAAACATGTCACACGAACCGTGAATCACTGCCTGCTGCAGAAATCGCTTAAACCCCCAAAGCATAGCTCACGGCAGACAGCTGCTCAGTCGGCCCTGCACCCACAAAAGTCTCTTCCCACAGAGGACTTTATAAATCATCTTTAAGATAATCCAAGGGCCTGAGTGAAGGCTTTAATAAAGATAAAAAGAAAACGAAAAATTTGTCAAAAACAAATTGGTTGTCTTTCAAGCAGACACCTTTTTAGCAGTTTTTTTTTTTTTCCTAAGACACTTTCTTTTCTCAAACAACTAGTGGAACTCTCTTCATCTAAACAATCTGGAATTTCTAAAGAATGTTGTTTTTGCATAGTTAATATTTTCGCATTTTTCTCCCCCTCTTTGGTCTTTCCCAGTATAATATAATCCTTTGCACCTGCAAAAGCTCCACAGACTGCTGACTGCCAAGAATCCACCACGTGATGCTGCCTCCAGGACCAGAGGGCCTGTGTGGAAGGAGAAAGAAAAATACAAGTTATTAAATATTTGAATTTATCGGAACCTCCTGTGGCTTAGCTCTAGGGCTGGGAACTTAAGTGAGAAGCTATTCTGGTGGCATTCCTCACTGATGACATAAGTGATTTTCCCAAGGACTTCACTGCATTCTAAAATAAGTCAAAGAAACGAGGGTGATAGCTTCATTAGAGTGCTCAAAGGAAACAATTTTCAGGAAGTATGTATGATATACACATACAAACACACACATTTGTGAGTGTAATATGTGTGTAAATAAAAATAAAGCTACATCTTTAAGACAATAACGTTTTAAATATTTCCCATATAATTCTGAACATATAAATACCACAATTCACAAATTAATCCAGAGCAGTGTATGCCAAATTCTTCAGTTCTTTTTTCAATCTTTACCACCCATGTTGCATGTTTGAAGGATGCTAATTCTGTTAGTTAACTATCCATTTAAAATTTGTCCAAACATTTTTTGTACTGTCATGAACTAAGCTAAGGATTACACAAATAAATACCCATGCCAAGTTTCAGTAGGCAGAGTGATGGCAGGGCCATGGTGGCTCGCTCACCAAGAGTTTCTGATCTAAGAGAAGACAGACAGTCACATCCAGTGGTGAGCAGTGCTCTGGTCAGGCCCTGGTCCAGTCCCTGAACACACACTAAAACTCACAGTCCTTACAACCCTAAGAGTTGGGCACTGCTATTACTACCTTTTACCCGGGCTTTCTAACAGCACAGCCTGTATAGGCTTTTTGGTTTTTCTTTAGCTTTACTGAGGTATAAGTGATGTCCAATAAACTACACATAAAATTTAAGTATGCCAGTTAAGTTTTGACATACACATACACGTGAAATCTTTGCACAATTGACAGTGAACATATCCATCACCCCCAAAAGTTTTCTGTGTCCCTTTGTCATCCCTCTTTCTTGCCCTTCCTCACCACCCGTTAAGCCAGCTGATCTGTCACTCTAAATTAGTGTGCCTTATCTAGAATTTTATATAAACAAATTATACATTCATTTTTTAAAACCTGGATTCTTTCCTTCAGAATTTTTATATGATTCATCCATGTTATTGTGGATGTCAACAGTTCATTCATTTATAATTGGTAAGTAATATTCCACTGTGTAGATATATCATTTATGTATGCACCTTTTGATGGACATTTTGGATTTTTCCAGTTTGGGGCTATTACAAAGAAAGCTGCTATGAACATTTATATTCCTGTGTTTATATGGACGCATGCTTTCATTTCTCTTAGGAAAATATCTACGTACGGAATAGCTGGATTACATGGTAGGTATATGTTTAACTTTTTAAGAAACTACCAAACTTTTCCAAAGTGGTTGTACCATTTTACATTCTAACCTGTTCTTGTTTCTCCACATCCTTCCAAAACACTTGGTATTGTCGGTAGTTTTAATTTTAATTATTCTAATAGGTGTGTAGTATTTCCTTGTGCTTTTTATTTGTATTTCCCTAAGGACTAACGATGTTGAGCTTTTTTTCATGTACTTTTTTCCATCCATACATTTTCTTTGGAGAAGTGTCCAAATGTTTTGCACATCGTTATTGGGTTGTCTATTTTCTTAATTATTGAGTTTTGAGAGTTCTTTATATATTCCAGGTAAAAGTCATTTGAAATATATTTTTCCTAGTCTGTGGCTTGTCTTTTCATTCTCTTAACAGTGTCTATCAAAGAACAAAAGTATGTAATTTTGATGAAGTGCAAATTATTCTTTTATGGATCTTGCTTTTGGTGACATATTCAAGAAATCTTTGCCTAACTCAGGCCACAAAGATTTTTTTACCTGTTTTCTTCTAGAAATTTTATGTCTTAGGTTTTACATTTAGGCCATCATCCATTTTGAGTTTATTTTTACATATACTGCAAGGTATGGATTGAAGTCCTTCTGTTTTGTTTCTACATATGGATATTTAATTGTTCCAGCAATTGGAAAAGAGTATCCTTTTTCCAATGACCTGCCTTCTCACTTTTGTTAAAAATCAGCTCTCCATATATGCGTGGGTCTATTTCTGGATTCTGGATTCTGCTCTAATGTACATATCTATCTTTACACCAATTCAGTACTTTCTTGACTACTGAAGCTCTCTAATAAATCTTGAGATCAGGTAGTATATTAGTTCTCCAACGTTGTTCTTTTTCAAAGTTGCTCTGACTATTCTAGGTTCTTTGCACATCCTTATGAATTTTAGAATCAGCTTATCAATTTCTACAAAACTGCCTGCTGAAATTTTCATCTGAACTGCACTGAATCTATAAATCATTTTGAAGAGAATAGAGGTGTTAACAATATTGAGTTTTCTGACCCATACATGGTATAATTCTCCATTTATTACTTAAGCCTCCATTATTTTCTCTCAACAGTGTTTCGTAGTTTTTAGTATACAGGTCTTGCAATTGTAATGTCAGATGTATCTCTGAGTACTTCTATGCTTTGATACTATTGTAAATAGTATTGCTTGTTTTTTTAATTTCAGTTTCTGTATGTTGCTAATATGTAGAAATACAACTAATTTTTGTATACTGATCTTGTTTCCTACAACCTTGCTAACCTTACCATCTCTAATAGCTTCTTGGTAGATTCCATCAAATTTTCTAATCAGTGATTATATCATCAATGAATAAAGACAGTTTTATTTCCTCCTTTCCAATTTGGATTATAGCCTTTTATTTCTTTTTCTTGCCTTACGGACTGGGTAGGACCTCTAGCATAATGGTATGCACTGCAATAATGATGACAAGTATTAGAAAAAAGACCTCTTGAATATATTAATTAAAATGGTTAGAATAGTGTAATGACCTACTGATGGAGGCATGACATTGTACGGTATGATCAAATATATCACAACTGAAAGAACAGTAAAGTTAGTACTAACTCCTACTCTCAATACTTCCCCACTGAAAATATACCTGTAAGGTTGAGAGGGTTGCTAGAAAAATGGAAAAGATGACATGTTAATAAATCAAGACACATAGGGCCCTGTTTACTATGTCAACTTGAACAACTTTTTTTTACTGTTAATTTACTGGTTTTACTTTATTTTATTTTTACCTTTTGACCCCCTTAACCCATTACTCCAGTCTCCCACCCCCTGCCTCTGGCAACCATCAATCTCTTCTCTATGAGCTTGATTTTTTTTTTTAAGGGTCCACATATAAGAGAGATCATGCAGTATTTGTCTTTTTCTGACTTATTTCACTTAGCATTATACCCTCAAGGTCCTCCATGTTGTCACAAATGGCAATATTTTGTTCTTTTTAAATGGCTGAATAATATTCTATTGTGTATATACACGAGGTCTGACAATGAGTTTCTGAACTCATTCTAGAAAAAGTGCTGCATAACTCAGTGCTGAATATCACTATGGTCACCTTCGAAGTACTCCCCTTGGGGAACTATGCACTGATGCCAGCACCTAGTCCACCCTTCAAAGCAATTTTTTTTTCTGGAATGGCCATCAGCGCTGTTGTCATAGTACCCTTGATGTCCTGAATCAAAATGTCTTCCTTTCAATATTTCCTTTATCTTCGGATAAAGAAAGAAGTCACTGGGGGCCAGATCAGGTGAGTAGGGAGGGTGTTCCAATACAGTCATTTGTTTACTGGCTAAAAACTCCCTCACAGTCAGCGTCATGTGAGCTGGTGCATTGTCGTGATGCAAGAGCCATAAGTTGTTGGAGAAAAGTTCAGGTCATTTAACTTTTTCACACACCTTTCCAGCACTTCCAAATAGTAAACTTAGTTAACTGTTTGTCCAGTTGGTACAGATTCATAAGGAATAATCCTTCTGATATCAAAAAAGGTTAGCAACATCGTTGCAACAAGTTCTCAGACTTAATTGTCAGACCTCATATACCACAATTTCTTTATCCAGTCATCCATCCATTGATGAATGCTTAGGTTGTTTCCATATTTAGATACTTAAATAATCCTGCAATAACACAGAGGTGCAGATATCCTTTTGAGTTACTTTGTTTGTTTATGTTTCCTTTATATAAATACCCAGAGGTGGAATTGCTGGATCACATGGTAGTTCTATTTTGAACTTTTTGAGGAACCTCCACACTGTTTTCCACAGCGGATGCACCCATTTATGTCCCCACCAACAGTGCACAGCGTTCCCTTTTCTCCACATCCTTGCTAACACTTGTCATTTCTTGTCCTTCTGATAATAACCATTCTGACAGGTATGAGATGATATTTCATTGTCGTTTTGATTTGCATTTCCCTAATGATTAATGATGTTGAGCATCTTTTCATTGACCTGTTGGCCATCTATCTATATGTCTTCTTTGTAAAAATGTCTATTCAGATCTGCTCTTTTTTTTTTTTTTTTAGCTGAGCCATCCTGCCACCTGTTGGCAGCTCAGCAGCAGCTCAGCTCAGGCTGAGAATGGAACCGGGGACCCTGTTGCTCAGAGCGCGCACTCTTGAGCGAGCTCTTAACCAACTGAGCCACTCGGCCGGCCCTCTTCTGCTCATTTTTTAATTGGATCATTTGGGATTTTTTTGTTGTTGTTACTAATTGAGTTGTGTAAGTTATGTATTTTGGACATTAGCCCCTTATCAGATATAATTTTCCAATATTTTCTCCCATTCAGTAGATTATGTTGATGGTTTCCTTTCCTGTGCAGAAGCTTTTTAGTTTAATGTAGTCTCACTTGTTTATTTTTGCTTTTGTTGCTTTTGCTTTTGGTGTCAGGTTCAAAAACTCATCACCAAGACCTATGTCAAGGAGCTTACCACCTATATTTTCTTCTAGGGGTTTTATGGTTTTAGGTCTTACTTCAAGTCTTTTAATTCATTTTGAGTTAATTTTTGTGCATGATGTAAAATAGTGGTCAAATTTCATCCTTTTGCATGTGATGTCCGCTTTTCCCAACACCATTTATTGAAGAGACTGTCCTTTTCCCACTGTATATTCTTGGTTCCTTTGTCATAAATTAATTAAC